CCAATTCCAGGTGCTACAAAATTTCTGGACAATCCCCACCCCATTAGTAATGCAAACTCAGATCACATGGGAAGGATCCTCATCGAACCAGACTCAAGAGACACTCCAAACCTTAACATACCTACAAGCTGCAAGACAGCAGCCTCTTACACTGCAGATTACAAGGCCATGAGAGAGACGGTGTCTAGATTGCAACCAAAATGATCACGTACGTGACCTTCTATTGAAAGTGTATGACTTTAAATTTCACTTTGTCACATCTGTGCCAGTGTATGATCATCATTAGGATGTTTTGTTCCTGTGTGGGTACTGCATTAACAAATTGTGATTGAATTTTTTTTCCTTCCCAGGTTCAGTGTGTCTTTTTGCTGAATTGGTCCCCCCTTAACCGCACCCGGGAGTACAAACATACACGCGACACTGATGAAACGTCAAAGCGAAGCGGTGCTGTCGAAAAACTAAGTAGTCTATAGCAGATTAGTAAAAAGAAAAAAACCAAAATGAGAAGAAAGAGGCAGCGGCTGGGAGAGGGAGAGCCACAGAGGCCCCGAGACAGACCCAAGTGACGATGCCAGTTACGTTATTAAAGCTAATGTTTAGATTTCAATATTTTGCAAGAACAGTAATTTACCTCCATCACATTCTCACGTTTGACATTTGTTATTTGAGTTTCTCTCAGTAGCTTTTAAACCTTTCACTGATGTAATTTTACATTTTTAATAACGGAGTGCTCCCATACAGTATACAGTAGTAACTTTGCACAAAAAGGTACATAATTTAGATGGTCTTTATTATTTAAAAAATGTCTTGATAGAAAATGACAAAGTAATTTGGGGTGGCCTAATAACAGTATTTTTCGCAAATTGTCACATTGGCAGGGATCTGTCGTCCCTAACCCTCACTAATGTGAAGGGCTTACTGTATAGAGTCTTGAGGCACTGTCAATTTTATCAATACAGCAATACAAAACCAGGGTATGCAAATTAGGACAACCATTCATCAGCATGCAAGGTCATCAATTAATACCATGCTGCACCACAAGGAAGGGTGCAACCAAATCGTGTGCTGGTAGAACCAACTGGGAAAGCAAACTGAGAAGTTTGTGTGGAGCCCTGAGAGACATTGATCTGAATAGTAAACTCATGCCGGCTTTAAAAAAAATAAAAAGGAGTGAAGGGGGTTTGTTTTTCCTGCCTGATTTTCACCCCACTTGAGTCCTTTCCAAATCTGCATAAAAAGCTACTATCACAAGTCAAGCATAGGCAGCGCTTGTTTAAACAGAGCAGCTATGACAGGAGGTGCTCAAAAGTCTTTCAGAATTGCTGGTGAGGACTGCACTGAGCTAATTTCACTCACTCTTTAGTTCCAGAGCCATTTTCTGAACATTAAAAGGTCAGAACAGCACCTTGAAACATTCGGGGCAGCCATTTTCCAAGTTCCACACTTAGCAGCAGCAAAAAGATGCTGCCTTAGGCGCAGGTTTGGCCGTGGTACCAGGTGCCCACCCAGAACGGCAGAGTGGCAAGAGAGACTGCCACCTGTTCTAATGCTCAGGCATCACGAAGCCCAGAAGGTGCCAGCACCAACCGGCGAGCCAGGCATGACGACGCTAACAAAGGCCGACACGGCAGCGCATACCACCCCTCTGCAGCGCAAGCTGCCTGACTGCGGCCAAATGTTACTGCCGAAAAGAGCATGTTCAGATAGACCAACCCGGAAGGAAAGCACACCATCCACCACTTACATGAGCCAACCTGGCAGGTGACATGCGTACGCGAAAACAACCGTCCCTTGATTAGTGCATGTTACCTTCCAGGGGCGTGCCCTGATCACCACCAAAAAGCAAAATATACTGCAGTGATATTCAATGAGAAGCAGGGCTTTGGAGGGGGGTCTCATTTTTATATTCCATCCATCCATTATCGACCGCTTTCCCAGGTCGGGTCGCGGGGGCAGTAGTCTAAGCAGGGAAACCCAGACTTCCCTCTCCCCGGCCACTTCATCCAGTTCCTCTGGGGGAATTCCGAGGTGTTCCCAGGCCAGCCGGGAGACATAGTCCCTCCAGCCTGTCCTGGGTCTTCCCCGGGGCCTCCTCCCAGTGGGACATGCCCAGAACACCTCACCAGGGAGGCGTCCAGGAGGCATCCTGACCAGATGCCTGAGCCGCCACATCTGACTCCTCTCAATGCGGCGGAGCAGCGGCTCGACTCTGAGTCCCTCCCGAATGACTGAGCTCCTCACCCTAAGGGAGAAACCCATTTCGGCCGCTTGCACTCGCGATCTCGTTCTTTCGGTCACTACCCACAGCTCGTGACCATAGGTGAGGGTAGGAACGTAGATCGATTGGTAAATCGAGAGCTTTGCCTTTTGGCTCAGCTCCTTCTTCACATGACAGACCGATGAAGCGCCCGCATCACTGCAGACGCCGCACCGACCCGCCTGTCGATCTCCCGCTCCATCCTTCCCTCACTTAATATATTTTTATATTAGATAAAAAGAGCTAACAGGCCATTTTTTAGCATGCTGCACCCACAGAAGTTCAGAAATGTTCAACTGGGCTGCGTCTCTCGACTCCAGAGAGGCTAATTAAGAGGCCCACTTTAATTCACATTTCCTTGGGTGAGGGCACTCTGACGGCTGCTGGTACATTCCCAAAAAAGCATGTGACCAGCTCTAGAACAGTACAGTAATACAAAACCAGAACCATTATTTTGGCTAAATATGCCCACAAAAAGAGGTGTGGCAGTAATTAGAGAACAGCACAGTAGAAGGTGCATAAGTCAACTCATCTGTTCAGTTCCAATTTGCAGAGTCACTCACTGTGACATTGTTCAGCAACACAGGTTCTGGCATTTCAATGAAAGAATGCCCTCACATAGCAAGCACTACAGGTATGTGCCAGGCTGAGCAGCTGCTCTCCGGCATGTATCAGGGTCACGCAGAAGCAGCTTCTACATTTGAACACATAAAGAAAAGGCTGAAGGGCTGACCGAAGCCGTCACTGCACCCTACACCTCACTACTAAAAGGAGTGAATCCAGTTTGATGAAGGGTGTGTATGTTAAAGGATTGAGGTTATATTATTAAGCTCACCATACTGCTTGAGAGGAGGGCCAAGTCTGCCGACTGCCTTGAAACATCAGACAAATAAGGGAACCCTCCCCCAAACTGGTTTGATTACAAATACGACCAACTAGATTCCACCCAAATGGCCCCTCATTTGCCTAAAACTTTATGCCAGTGACTGACACCCCTACAATTAATACTACAAAGCAATTAAGAGCTGAGAACAAAACCAGTACAGGAGACCTTTCTGGTGTAGTGCAAGCTGTCGTGCCTTATGAAGGGGGGTGATGATGCGCCCACCCAGAGAGGAAGGGCGGAAGGAAGCTCAAATGAAGCTTCCCAGCAGAAGGAAGAGTTGCTGAGGGCAGCTACCAAAGACCAAACATTTTTAATGGCAAACTAAATGTTCTCCCTGTGAAAAATGAGGTTGGGGGGAAGGGGAAAAAAAAAAAACAAGGAAAACGAATAGATATTGATTGGCTGCCTGCCCACGGCTCACACACTGACTGACACTTGAATGGGGATTTAGTAGGAAAGCGTCCAGGCCGCTTCTGCTTAGCGTCACGCGTTTGCATGTTTACTCTGAGCAGAGATTAGCAGCTGACAGAAAGCAGGGGTGTCCACTTACGGCACCGATGCTCAGCCACCAGCCCAGCTTACTCCCCACTGTTCTCATTCATGTACAATAAATCACATGCAAGTGAAGCATTTACGCTGGCATTTCCCATTTCACTATACTCAGGGGCTCATTCTAACATTCTTCTTCCACAGTCATTAAAAACACGAAGACATTCTGACCTTAAACTAGTTAATTCGCTGGAGGGGAACCCAGCTCATTCATGGTCAGACCTCTTATCACATACAATACCACACGTGGAAAGGAGCTGTGTGTGTGTGTGTGTGTCTGTCTGATGTTCACATGGATTCCCACCCACAATCTCAAATACCCATATGGCAGAGGGTGCACGCTCCCCCGCTTCCCCACCCCCAAAAGACACACAGCCAGACGGAAAAGGGAAAGCAGAGATGTGGCACAGTTCAGGGCTGGGTAGTATTCATCTTGATGGAGAGCTGGGAATTTTATTTATGATGGCAGCGGCTTGCTGCCGAGTGCAGCCGGCCTTTATCAGCTCTGTCAAGAGGAAAACGCATTTCACGCACTGCTGCCCCTGCGTGCCCAGCCTGCACGCCCTTCTGCCGCCCACCGGATTAGGGAGAGAAGCACTTCCCTGGGGAAGGGGGGCACACAGCTGTCGGCCTGCCCACCTTGAGCACAGGCATGCAGCTAGCTGCCACTGCAGCCCCTCCCCCTTTTTGCTCACCACCCCACTAACCTTGACATAGCCCAGTGCTTATCCAGTGCCATGACTCCATGTCAAACCGGCTGTAAGAACGGCCACGGTGCGGTCAGAGCAAACCGGGGGCCACAGCTTTTTCAGGCCATGAACATTTATGAATTGGCACGTTCTTGGCCCCCACCAGAAAGAACTGCCACAGTCAACCTCTGAATTTCACAGTGAGTAAACGAGTATGAAAAATCACTGAAAAGGTTACTTTAGAGCCAAGAAAGCAGGACTGTAACGGCTTTGAGTGATAACCCCATATTGCAGAACCGGCCTCGCTGCCAGCCACAATGGCACTCACAGCACTTTACAGAGTGATTACCCATAATCCCACACAAGACAGTTTGCCACTCCCTGGATGCTGGGGAAGCTAAGTAACCAGGTTACATGCTGGTAGGAGCTCATCACCCAGAGTAGGTTAATCAGAGCACCGTATGAATGGGTCAATGACGCGCATTGTTTCCAGTCCAGCATGCGCCACTGCTGTTGAATGACATCAGGCAGGATGCCTGCATTACAGACAGGTGAAGATGCAGAAACATATGTGGCAGAAGATAAACATGAGTGCAAGAGAAGCAGAAAAGAAACATACGTCAGGATACTCTTTCACAGGCACAAAGAGCTTCTCCTGCAGGTGTACAATGGGGCCCACAGGTTCAGGTAGCTCCAAGGGGTGTTTCTCCACCAGGCCATTCACAGAGTCGCTGTACATGTCCTTCCGTACTCTGGTGATCTCTGGAACAGAGGAACAAAGAAATTAACAAACAAGGAAGGAAAAAGCCATCTGTAATCACGTGTGAGAAAAACACATTCAGCAGTATTTGGGGTGGTGGTGGTTTCCAGCGAGCTCCGCTAGTGTGCCTGCATTTATACCGATAATTACTAACCCAAAAGCCCAACTCCTTCGACTGGGCCGTCACTCAGACATGGGGAAGCAAGTGACCAGACAACTATTCAAACACTTGAACCCAGTTAACCCATCTGCTGGAATTACCTCTTTTAGAGGTTGAAGGTAGGATGGAGTGAAAGGAAGGAAGACTACACTTGAACAAGTGAAATATGGCTGCAGCTTCTGCGCTGTCAATGACAAACAGACCAAGGGGTGGGTCTCCTACAGTCCCAAGAACATACAGAATGAGGCATTTTCTGACAGAACAGCTTTCAATGCCAAGGCTGTCCAGGTAAAGGGCTCCCCCGACGGCCAGCCACAGGCCACATGTGCCTGACACCCGATTGTTAGATCGCCAGTCATCCCCATAGCTGCGGAACTGGAATCAGACATTCATCCGACGGCAAGAATTTTACTGTGAAAACCTTTGCTTTCCTACTCTCTTTCCCTTTTTAATTCCCTTTCTCTCCTGAAATGTCACATTAACATAAAGTGGCAGAAGAAGGCCGTCCGCCAAAAATGTGCAGCGCTTGACAACCCCTAATTTCAGCTCTGCAGCACTACTGAGAAAGCCCCTGGAAATGCTCAGGCTTGCTGAAAAGAATACCTGCTGCCATCTTGTCCTCTGAAAGCCTTTGTCTCTGCCCAGTCTCGTCAGTATGTCTCTCAAGGGCAAAGCAGCACATCAGAACAACAAAGACCACAGAAACTACTAACGTAATGTTAAAGCAGAGGAAGCCCTTAATGGTGCTCACCAAAATGCCACGGAAGTTCAAGCTTTTGGAAAGTCACGTCAGAAGCGACAGCACATAGCAGCGGTGAGTGTCTTTACTGCCAGATTATCACTGAAAGACACTGAGACACTTTCATGCAAGGTCATTCCACACAGGCCAATTCTAGAGAAGCATTCAGCTTTGTTTTTGACTGGATATCTGCACCCAGACACTGAAGGGAGGCAAGACAGGAAAGAAAGAAAAAAAGCCTTATTTACTGAACAAAGATGAAACTATGAGATGAAGATGTCAAGAGGAACACTGCCACAGACAGCTGCATCCAGGGTCTCTCATATACTGTAGACCAAGGATTCATAGTCATGCTTGCCTTACAGATCACACCTAGTCAAAGAAAATGGTGCCCCATCAGCCCTTTGGGGCCTGTTAGGTCATCCAAAACAAATCACAGATGGATAGGGGTACCAGATCAGAGGTGGGCCCCAGAGGGTGCAGGGACGATGGGGCCCATCTGCTGAGCACACTTGACAGACCTAAAGGCTGGCTTGGGGCCAGGAGGAGGGCCTCTGGCAAACCCATGCTTCAATGACTCTCCTCTTCTAAAAACTACTAAACTCCACCGTGTCTCAAATCAACACTGAAGACAATTATTCCAGTGAAATTATTCTTCATTCTGAACACCGTTGGTAATTTCCTACCTAAACTTTTGGAAGGAAAAAGGATCCAGAAAGTCAGAGAGACAGCAAAGTGCCTGAGAGAGACTCTGGCCACCTTCTCTTGAATATTAAGTTATTAAAGAGTGCACTATCTACAACACGGATCATCCAACAGGATATCTAAATCATGTTTGTACAAACACTGCAAACCAAGGAAGTGGGGAAGGTTGTCGGGGATATCTGAAGTACAGTGATGCCGATGAGGAAGGTGGGGCTTACACACTCAACCAATACTAACAAATCAGCAGTAGTCTGAGGGATCAGACTCCCCAAAGCAGCTCTAAATGAAGCCTGATTAATTGTTAATGCCCATCACCTGAGAGTGCTCGACCTAACAGTGATTAAAAAGATCTGTGGTCAGGGAAAGCCATGCCTCATCTACCTTCCCCTGGGTTATACACCCCCCCCCCCCTCGGATTAACACAGAGACGCTCTTTCATCTGTAGAAGACGGAAGCATCCACTTGAGATGAGTAATATTTGCAGACGGGAGAGAGGCCAGGCAGATGCACATGCCTGTGGAGGAGTAGTGAGCGATGACTAAACAAACCTGGGCAGTGAAAACATTTCGCCGAAAGAAGGCATCAGAACTTTGTGAAGGAACAAGCGTTTTCCCACTCCGGCTGGGAACGAATGCAGAGAGACGACAGCCAAGCCTTTCCTTTATTTACACACTGAATATCCAAAACTCTGTCTGGCTCAAACAGCAAGGGGTTTGCTGGTGGGGAAATATATTTTTTTTCTTTCCATATTTAAGCAGATTTACTGCCTTATGACACTGCAGTCATGTACTACGCATTTGTATTAAACACACCAGACATATAAAAGGTCAGACGGAGGGGAAAAAATAACACAGGTATGCACAATGTACTTTACAAATAAAACTGCAATGAAAGGTATTTTGCAGTTCGCCTTCCTATGTTGTTCAGATGTTCACCAGATATGTATACTATCTTGTATATTATGTACATCCAAGATATTTCTGGAAAACCAGCTTTAATAACAAGGTCTTTAAGAAGACTGACAGCGAGCACATTATCATAAGCAAGCAAAACCATGCAGAAGCACATGCTGGGTTCTGTGGAAGAGCCTTAGCTAAGACCGGGACAGATCACCATTAAGACACCCCCAGTGTAACTGCATTATTGTTTGTCACCACTGGGGGAGTAGGACACTAAACTTGCCTACTGCTGCATATCTGCAGAACTCACACAGACGACTGTAAGAAATGCCAGTCATTAATCATAGAAACAGAAAATGCAACCTCTTATCAAGTCACTGAAAATCAAAATAAGGATAGTCTGATCATCTAGTATCATAATCATCTGCCCCAACAATTCTTTCATGGATTCCCACAGCACAGGGACAAGCACGGTGACAGCCAATCTCAGAGGGCTGAATCACCACCTTTACGCGGTTAGACAGGGCATTACCACAGAGATCCCTCCATTTATCATTAGAGCTGTGCTGGGGAAGACAATAACAAAAGCAGCGGTATGCCCGAGCTGAAAGATCTGCTCTCATTTCAAAATAAACAGAGCTCCTACACTAGATATCAACTTTCCTTGATAAGGTTCCGTACACAGGGTGGAATCCAGGAGCAGTAAGGAAGCTAAAGGAAAAAACTCTCTCTGCAGAGGGCTCTGATGGGGGGGGGGGGGGTTAGCTGCCACTATGGGGTCCTGCCCCTGGTCACGCCGTACTGCCTCCACGTCACCCCAGGGCTTCTTGCTACACAATTAAGTTGGAAAAAACCAAAAGCAGAGACTCCTCACGCATTTAAGGAATTCGCATGGGTACAATTTATTCCTCAGAACTCTCCTACGGCTCACAAACGCCAAGATCTTTTAAAATGAGAGAAAGAGCCTAGTTGTCATCAAACTGGAGGATATGTAGCGTTAAATTGGAAACCCTCTTAAGTGTAATTTACCAGAGTAGATTCCTGGGGAGTGTAGTTAAAATGTTTCCGCATGCAAACATCAAGATTCTTTTCAGGAGGCATCGAACAGATGCTCCCAGAGAAAATTACAATTCTGTAAAAAGCAGCCAAGTCAGACCCCAGAGACCATGGGACACATTAAATAGATCCAGAAAATCACTCTGGAGATCAACTTGACGGGGGTGTGCTGAATTGACAGGTTAGGTTTGTCTCAAGTTAAGACGCTTCATTCTGTTGCTTTGAACACATCACACTGGCCATTTCACACATACATCACTACACTGGTAACACAGATATATTCTACCATCCACAGTTCTAAAAGTTGTAATACGGACTAACAATGCACCTGGTGCAGTATCTCTCTTAAAAGCACACCAGGAAATGAGAAGGAGACAGGAAAGTGTGACCAGGATGTTGACTGAAACTACTTATTTTACTGACCATGACACCCCCCACAAGCAACAATGACAGGAAGCACCCAGCTGTCAGGAGGAAGGATGGAGCCGGCTCCATGGTGGTAAACAAAGATAACCAGTGTTGTTTCCTACCCTCCGGTCTCCAAGGACACAATATTAACATGCCATCCAGTCTGTCTAAAACAACACTCCCACCATATGCAATGCATCTATACGCACCCACCCTTTATTCTGAGTTATGCCTTCTGAACTCAAGCTGTTGGGATTCAATGTCTTGCAAGAGGTGGTTACAAAGGCTGTAAAAGCAGACATTCATCTGTCAGGGCAGGAGGGCACCAATGATCACGGCTCTGCGCATGTTGACAGTTATGCTGATTTTATCAAGGACAGACTCATGAATCGTCATTTTTCTGCTGTCAAAAAATGGAACCCTGCGGCTCATACCATTTAAAGAAGGTAGAGATGCTGCTTACCGCTATGGCTTCCCCCATTTGTGGTAAAGGTGAAACAGCCAGTAAACCACAGCCACACACTCAGCTTTAATCATGGAGAAAAGGCAGCTTTTAATGACAAGACTGGTGTGAGATCAAGGCACAGTGCTCTCTGCCATCTGGGTCAGTCTGCCCTGGGAATCATTAGGCTCCTAAGTGCTGATGGGAGGCACTACCTGTCGGAGATTAACACACTAAACAGGCAGCTCAAAATCAACATATGAACTCTGGAAGGGGAAGGAGACACACAAAGCATCCAGCTGTAGAAATACTGTTGAGTACATAAAAGGTATGAAATTCCCAAAAATACAACTGAAAAGAAAAAAGGGCAAAGATAAAATGATTATGCAGTGGCACGGTGAGGTGAACACATGGTGCATACTGACCCTGGGCTAATGCAAGGAGACAGAAATTTACAAGCTTTTAATGGCAGTGTGAGGGCTCAGATGAAAGGGAGACCAAATCAGTGACTTGGGTGAATGTGCAGGGGGGATTTGTTCTTCTAGAGCCGGCAAGCAGCAGAGCACCACTGATCAAGGGAGACATTTACATCA